GCTGAATGTGCATGTAAGCATAGGAAATTATTAAGGTGACCCACTTAAACCTCGGAGGAGAAGCACACAAAGGATAAATCGAAGCCCAAAATATCTTATGAGCTGGTTTCAATCATTCCTGGACAGAAGTACTTATATATAATTTGTCTTGATTCTTCTGCAGTTCATCTGCGTTTGTTATTCCAGGAATTGTTACCATGACGTGTTGACATATGCAAAGGCGAGCGTCAGGTCCTTCCTACCTTCAGCATACACACAAGTGAGACTGAGAAGGTAGTTAACAACGTGGCCATTTAGAAATAGTACACTTGATGGACCGGGCTAAAATACCGTGACCCTTCGGCTGGCTAGAAGATCGCGTACGAACAGTGCAACATTGAGCTACAGTAACGTGAGAACGTGCCAAATGGCGTGGATGCTTGGCCACCTGCCTTAAGGTTGTCAGTTGGCTAAGATTATGACCGTTAGAACCAATGTTCACTTTTGTCGGACCCTGGGCTAATGACTAACTAATTATTGGTGGCTAGAGCACGCTTCCTCTTTAGTCAGTTTGTGATGACGGTAAGATGGCACCAGCTAAAAGTAAACGCCTGGCGGTTTTGCCCCTAGCATGACCTTCCCGTGAGCTCACTGCAAAGAGTGGCGTCTGGTTGTCGGAACTCATTCCAGAGTGTTGAAGAAACAGAAAAAGTGACCAATCAAGTGATAGATTGGTTGCAATTTTCGTGGTTACATTCAGAATATAAACAAAAACCTTTATTGGCGCAATAAAATTTCATGAAAAAGAAGATCGAAAAAGGGTATACTATGTGCTACTGTAAATGTCGATAAGAGAACGTGACACATCTACTTTTTCAAGAATGTATCACGACCAAGTAGCAATAACGAAGCATAACGATAAAAAGTAGGGATTTTTTGGGCTTTGATTAGAAGTGTTGCCACGGCGAATGCCGGTAAACATGTTGTCATGTAAACTTTTAACATTACGCTACATTGTTGTCATTTTTGTGTTTACACATCAAAGGCTGTTTTATTTTTGCTCTAGTGGGAATATTATTCAAATTTCTGCTTCATGGTGGGCCAAAAGTGTCGTAAAAATGCTTGTGATAGGGTCGAGTGCCACTTTACAGTGGCCTCTGGTATGCAGTGTAGCGAGTGTAAGACTTGTTTCCACGATAATTGTACAAGCCTCACACCCTCAGCATACAAGAGGTACAGCAACGCGGGAACTGTCTGGCTTTGCACGTTGTGCTGCTCGAATATTCGCACCCTGGTAGAAGGGGCAAAAACACTTCTAAATACGATAACTAAGAGACTGTTGTCGAAAGTCGAAGCTGATAACTGTGGCAGTGATAACAACACAGCATCCATTGACACAGATCGCTACGAAAATTTTAAGAACGTCCCACAACAAGCTGTAAGTCAAGCGCGTAGACCACCTACTAGGTTTGCTGACAGCGACTTTGAAAAAACTACACCAAGCAGGGTGAAGCGAGTATCTTCTGGATCTCGCATCCCCAGGGATGACAGACCCAGTCTGAAAACTGCTGACCGCAAAACTAGGTCCACTTCAGATGAAAGAAACAGCAGTGAAGCACTCTCAATTCCAACGACAGAACCACGCAGGCCGTAGGTTATACCCAGTTCGGCGGCCCAATCATTGACGAAACTAACACAGAATAGGATGCAAGTCCGTTATGAGGCTCTCAGTGTCAGGGCCACTGGATTAGGCCTTAGCAAAACTTGCATACCCAACTCTGAAAAACGGCAAGTAACTAAGCCTAATGGCATGCTAAGAAGCCAATAACGGTAACCGAGCCAGTTATCATCACTCCCCATAGCAAAGACAAAGTAGGGCTCGTTGACAGGTCCGTAATTTTCCACGGAGTAGAAGGAAGTAGAAACCCAGAACCACGTAAACGTTTCGAACACTACCTTGGCAAGGTACAAAGTTTGATAAACCAGCTTTCGGCAGAAAACGTGCCAGCAGTCACCATACTCAAGATATATAGAGTAGGAAAACAGGAAACAGTCATTGCCGAAAATAGGTTTCGGCTACTTAAAGTCATATTCAGGTCAGCAGATGAGAGGAATCAGATTCTGAAGAATGCTCACAGGCTTCAAGGATCTGGAGTGTTCTTGCGAAAGGATCTCGCTCTTGCTGATCGAATCAAAAAGCAGAAGCAGAACTAAAATCCAGATTTGCAGCTGGAGAGCAAGATCTGAAAGTAGTGGGTTTTCATGTAGTGAGGTTTCGGCAACAAATGATGCCGAAGCCTCTATGGAGAGGACGGGAACTCGTTTGAATGGCTTCGTTGTCTTTCACACAAACGTGCGTAGCCTTTTAAACAAGTGGACTGAGCTTAGTAATGTGGTAAGCAACGAAAGCCCTGACATCATTGCCATCTCAGAAACTTGGCTCTCTTCTTGGATCAGTGACTGTGAAACACATTTACGAGGATTCGTTCCTTTTAGAAGTGACAGGTTAGCATGCAAAGGTGGCAGTGTCATCCTTTACGTTAAGAATAACTTAACTGTAAAAGCCATGGAAAGTTGCACATGAAAGTGGGACATGTGAAATGCTGCGCTACCGACTGAAGAGCAAGGGGGAAGATGTTAACGTAATCGTGATATATCGAAGCCCTGAATGTGAAGCGGCAGACTTCCTACTGAATAAACTGGCCCTCTGGACAGGTAAATGCCGATGTTTGGTTGAAGGAGACTTCAACGCACCATCGGTTGACTGGGATAGACTGACAAGAAAAGCACCACGAAATTCGTTTGACCACGGGTTAGTGGATACATCAATCTCCTTAGCCCTCATACAGCACATTAGGACACCAACCAGATATGAGCATCAGCATGCGCCATCAGTTCAGGACTTAGTATTCTCACATACAGATGTGTGCTTCACCCGGCACCCCTTGGAAAAAGTAATTACGCTGTGATCATCTTCAGATTCATAGCAGACGTCTTGTACGACGCCGATGCCCCAGCTGGACCCAACATATAGAAAGAGAATTTGGAAGCTAGTAACCTGGTGGCCTCTTCGGAGGACTGGACAGTTAATCCAGAAGCCTCATTTGAAGGTGCGTGGTGCTCTTTCAAACAGTTATATGCATGAGTGACCCAACCGTTCATTCCGTGGACTGTCCTGAGGGGACGGAAACACCATCCTCCATGGATAAACCACGAAATTCGAATCTTGCTACGACGTAAGAAAAAGTGTTGGAATCTTGTCACCCACCTCGGTACACCCGAAGTGGTGAAGCATTACAAAGAAGCCCGCGATAAATGTATCGCTGCTATCCGCCGGTCTTGAACATGCTTTGAAACACGTCTTGCCCAGTCTGCATTGCAACATCCGAAGAGGTTGTTTTCCTATATGAACTATGGAAATAAAACGTGTAGTATACCCACTCTAATGAATGGGACAGAAAATGACTGTTTGAGGACGATAGGTTCTACGTCGATTTAGACATCCAACTGTGACCAGTAGAAGATCGTAAGATCTTTTTATATGTTGTTTCATTTAATCTCAATGAAACCGTGATAGGAAATCTTTTGAAGTTCAGTCACGCATCTGTCACCTATTTCGAAGTAAAACCACCTGCCACATACAAGCTTGTGTTACCGCCATGGCATTATACATCTAGTACAATTGAAGTCCGATTGATAAAACAAAAGTGGGAAATTAAGCAGAGTGCAGAAGAGTAAACAACTTTTCCCAGATTCTTCATTCACTTGATTTTCATTACTTTAAAACTTAATAACCATTTAAAAGGCAGTACTTGTAACAGTTGGGAGTCAGCTTCATATTAAAAATATATTTCATATTCAAGTGCCTCTAATGAGAGGGTTCTTATGCACAATGACAGAAAATCACATGCTTCAATATTCAGTCACTCAAAAAGTGATTGCATTCAAAGGGTAAACAATGGTAACATGACAACAGATCACTGAAAGATATCTTATGAAATAAACGAAAAAAAATCCAAGTATATGAACTAATTCACTGAAATCTGGAATACGATTCCACAAAAATGTTATCGACGAAACCTAACTGACAGAAAATTAACCATTTTGTTGCTTGCAGCAAGTTATCGAAGATGAATTTCAGATGTGAAAAACAAAAAGAAATATGTTGTTGTTTGGTTAAATTTGTAAGTGAAATTTTCTTCACTTTCAAAACATACTTTAATAAGATATGATCAATCCTTAAGAAAACGGTAGAAAAATCCCACATCATGAACAGAAATGAATAGATGTGTTGACAAACAGATTCATTCCTTTGTTTGTTTTTTTTCTCGTGAACGAAAGAAACATAAGTACAGAAGGTACACAAAAAAGAAAGCGATTACATAGGGCACTCAGTGGATACCCATCAGAAAAGAAACAGCACACAATTGTACATCACAGCAAATGCAAAAACAGCATAATTTTAACGAAAGTAACACATACAACTCAAGACGTAACAAGCAAGTGTAAAATCACCGTTATGTATATATTATGAATACATATAAAGGCAAAAAGTATTAAATTCACTTCTTAGCGGTAGACTGATATTTCTGTGTGTATAGTTATTATAACAACAAGACCTTTAACAACACCGGCGATAACACAATGAGTTTCAGGATGAAAAAAAAAACTAGAGGCCGAGTACACTGGAAACAAACAAAACATTGAAGTCAAACAAAACCATTCAATCGAACTGAACTCATCCAAAGGTCGGTAAAAGTAATGCCAGTAACAATGAGTATTATGCACATAAAAGAAAATTATTTAAACTAATTGGGAACATTTTGATTGCACCTTACACACAAATACATGTAAAAGTGTACTGTGGCAAAAAAAACTGATTACAGATTGATGCCGATGTGAAAAAAGAGACACTTATGTATAAACATTCCGTATAGCAGGAAGTTATATAGCTTTCTTTACAAAAACCAACGAGCTTGCTACAAGCTAGATAAATTCGAAGACAGAATGGAGAAATATAAGAAAATTCTCTTAACGAGATCTTGATTGAGAAATAGACGGTATAACAGTGAATACACATGTGTACGCATCTACATGTATAAATCACACAGTGGGTAGTGCCCATGATATAACACTTTTATCTGCACTTGAGGTAATAAATGATAACTGATGTGGATGCCAACGTGCTTGTACAACTTTATCTGTGTGCTCAGCCAACTGAACACAAGGTAGTGGTTGGGACAGATCACCTAAACATTACGTAAAGAAAAACAGTAAAGTGAAGATTATATCTTTGGTTGTGAATCAGATGAATAGAAGTGCACACTGCAAACAAAGAGTGAAATGTATTCAAAACTAAGAAATGATGAGAAAAACCCATGTGGACAAATCGTTTGCTTGTCGTGCCATATCAGCCTGATCAACTTTTCAGAAAATTGTTTTTTCAGAGGCTAGGAGTGAGCTAATTTATTCAGTTAAACGGTGACGATATTCTGAGTTTGAAAACGTCGAATCATCAGACTCTTTTTGTACTTATTACTCAGACGATAACAATTCAGTATATGTACCCATTTTTACTTTTACCTTCCAACTTTTCGTATCCAACTGGTATTTAACCAAGTCAAATAAAGGTGAGGTAAACTGTCATTTGAACACCCACCGGCTCTCTCTCTCTCTCTCTCTCTCTCTCTCTCTCTATATATATATATATATATATATATATATATATATATATATATATATATATATAATCTGTGTTAAAGTGAATATTCTAAATTTTCTTACAATTAATAACAGTTTTACAAATAAAATGGATGGAAGACTTTTATCCACTTTAGAGTACTGAAAGTCAGAAATAGAATGAGAGAGACAAGGAGAATGACTGAAAACCTTACCGTGGAAATCAGTTAGCATAACTCGTTTGTCATAACTGGCTGATAAAAGATAGTAAGTAGTTGGTGAGAAGCGTACACTGCGTACTTCATTGGAATGTGGTCTATAGGCATTGATGTAACGAGCACCACGTAGATCGAACAGAGAGATTGTAGCGTCTTCATGACCACTAGCAAGCAGATTACAACCAGATTCCACAGTGACCGAGGCGAATGCACTTCCTGAAGGTTAGAATATGAGGAGAGAAAGTAGTACGAATTAGGAAGAACAACGTTACGCAATTATGACTCAACAGACAGTTAGACGTCTGTTAACTTGTTACCTGTACACAAATAGACATCTCAGAATAAAGTGGGTGTTGCTTAATAGTTCGCTTCATTTAAAGAAATGTAGTGCAAAAGGTCATTTAGTCGAATTAGTATACAATAAGTAGAAGTCATTAACAAAATTTAAATTGTTGCATAAGAAACCTACTCAACACAGCTGCATTCAAATTGCTTAGCACTGATTTGTAATCGAAAACGAAACGTCGATTAAATATATGATCACCAATTACATGTATTTCTTGGAATACAAGGAACCAACAATATATTTCTAAAAAGTAACCGTGATTCTTTTAAAATCAGGTATTCTATTTCAGTCAGACGCATTAATTTCCAAACGGGATATTTGTACTACACTTCAGTTTGTCCTCCTTGTTTATTTTCATCTATTTCTGCCTTTGTTGAATTTCAAAGTGAGTTAAATTACACTGATATATTTTTCGGAGGCTTGTGAATCTCCGTCGTTGATCGGACCGAATCGATCGGCCACTATTGGCATATAGGCTTCCATGCGGATGCCTCAACATCATCGGTATTTTCAAATCTGACATTAATCATAGATAACGGCTATCAGCGGAATCCAAGATGCGCGTTTCGTTCTATTTAGGACTTTTCAGCTGGATGTATCTGTCTCCCGGTGAGTGATGATGTTCAATAAAAATCCGGACTCGTCCTGGACTCCACTGCTAGACACTAATCATCATTAATATTGAATTTAAAAATACCAGCAGTGTCAAGATATTCGAACAGAAGCCCCTAAGCCAATGGTGGGTCATCAAGTCTGTTCAATTAACGACGGAGATGCACAAGTCATAACATATAAGACTATAGTATAGCATGCCCGTCGTACAAGGAGTGGCCATTGTGATTCAGTGGATAGTGCTCTGGCATTAGAAGCAGTTGGTCCGCGGTTCCCGTTTAAGTGGGGACAAAATCATCCAATAGTAGGCAGGTATATCTAGATGAGAAGTCCAAAATAGGACAGGACGTGCGTTCTGGATTCCCTTGCTAGCTACTAACCATCGTTACTTTTGACATACTGATGTACAAAGTAATGCATTGTCATTAATCGTGTGTCTATTATCTTATATATATCTTACATTCCATCGGCGGCCTGCTTGAACCTTGGGCTGCCAAATTTATCCAACGAACATTTTTCATCAAATTCTTCCCTTGCAACTTGTTCTAATCGTTTAAATATGTCCTTTGAACGTATCGTGTACTCTGGCACATTTTAAAACTGTTTTCAACTCTCCGTTTCTCGAGTCAGAGAAGCAGGGGAAAAATGTTACGTTATGTGGAAATCGACTTTTAGGTGCACAAAAGTGCATCATATTTCTATCCGTCAGATGCTTAGCTTGAGTTTCAGAATGAACCACCACCACCAAAACTACGTTTGCATTTCTGTTGATTCTTCACTATGAACTAGACGCCCATCCAGAACCATATTATTGCCTTGAATACTGTTAATAATAACATCATGCAGATGCAATAACCATTTCGTCTTAAAGTATTGTTCTTGGAGTGAATCTATTGAAAAACTACGAGCTGAAAATTCCATACCGTCATACATATTGTTTGGAACAAAGCGATTATTATTATTACTTTGATTTTTGTTAAAACTTACACGAAAAGAAGTTCATCAGTGCTTTTAAAATGATGAATGCATTAGAAAACTTATTTTATGAACCACTTTATTACGTGATAAGCTGCTGAAAATGAGGAAATACAACACTAACAGTCGTTCAGTAACTGAAAACCGAGTAGTCATACGCTCCTTTTTTTAATTATCATCCTTGGCATATATTTCATTGCAAAAATAAAACAGATCATATATTTTGTGTGACAACGGTATATTTTATCAATTTAGTAAATATCGCAAAACACTAAGTACATCACACAAAACTGAAATCATAACATTCAAGGTGGATATCTAACGAAAAAGCTATGAATACACACTCAAATCCAAAGAGTGATAACTGATGGATAGCACTTGTAACAAATATGTCTCCTTACACACTACAACAATTTAAAGCATCAAGATGAAAAAAGAAACCAGACTAAGACAACGAATCAACCAGTGGCAACGAACATGAAAAGAGAGAAAAAAAAGGAATCGTAAAATATCAGACAATAAGATACACACCAACCAAATAAACTTCATGAAACTGTTTATTTGAAACAGTAAATTGGCACGCACAAAGAGTACCAGGAAATGTGCCAGAACGGATTACCCTAAAGAATCGATAAATTTGCGCCGATCGAAGTAATTTCAACTGATGCTCCTAAAAATAATGTCATTAATTCCAGCTGTTTAGCAGACTAAAAACATAACACCATGTGTAACTCAAACTAATATAAGATCTTGAGTCAACATCATCAACGAAAACACAGGATCAGCCATTACTGCATAACGGTCCGGCTTGCCACACCTTATATCAGCACATCAAGCGAGAATGCACTAATGACAGAGATAAGTAAATCAAGAAGAATCAGTCAAAAGTAGTAGAAAGTAGTAAAGAGAGCGGAGGGATAAGGAAATACTGAATTCAGTACGATGATTAAGACAAGGATAATGTGTGGATACATCGGCGCCACGGAGATCGATTCTCGGCTATGTCTCCAACAGTCTCCAACCACTGGTTCGCGCTGTCACGCGGAGACCAACCGAAATATCTGCATGTCTCAGACCAATAGTCAAAGATTTTATGCAATGATGCCACATTGTAGTCCGGCCACTGGTAATCTTTGTCCAACCTGAAGCTACTTAAGCTAACATTGTGCGATGAGGCAGAGGTTGACTAGGTATCCGCAACACATCCCAACACTACACGACTCGATGAAAGTTCATGACTTCATTGATTGACTCTCCTCTCCTCCCTAAAACTCTACACCTAACTTCTACATTACTGGGGCCGTGACGCCACGACACACGGCATATACTGAGAAGGTAGTGGTGGTCAAACATCCTCTACCATGTTCCGCAGACACACATATTAGAACAGAGTGAATTGCAGAGCAGTAAACCTGGTCCTGATGAGACAATCCTACATCTCACTAGGGCCGAAGCTGGCGTATGTAGATGAAAGCCAATCGAGCCATTTGTATCCACGCTGAGAAATCGTCGGTCATTAACCCACCAGGGCAGATCTGACTTCTCAGTTAAGTGAACGGGTCAACAAGCTCAAAACTTCACTCCCTATTGATAGATGAAGCATCAACGCAGACCAGTCTTGAAGTTACAATTTCCAATTGGCTGACGAGATTTCATCCTTCACTTCATTTAAACTGTAGTGAGTGGGTGCGTAAGCAAAGATAACGAAGAGACAGCGAAAAATTTCATGACTCCTTTTTGTCCTCACTGTGTTGTTTAGTCGAGCGGCGCATAGGCGACTGTCAAATGGCATCCAGTGGAGTAGTGCATTTTCGGCCATAGTCCTCAATCCCATACTTGAAAGACCATGAGAGCTGGCCATCGAACCTTCACAAACTCGCAGGGTGAATTTTACGGATTCGTCATGTTGGTTGGGTTGCGTTTAGTAAATACCAGCAATTAGGTCCTGTATGCATATCTCACAAACACAACAAAAGTACGTCGCTCGAGTTCTTAGAGTTTTGGCTACAGAAGCTTGTTGACCGACTTGACGAAAGATCTGGACATTATTAGCTCCATGTGTAGTCTGAAGCACGGCTTCGGAAACCAGTGGTGTGGTTCCATGAACTCGGATTGTTATCGACAATTACAGAGCTGGAAGGAATTATCGACCGAGAAACGTGAAGGAAGATTAGAAGGTAAGGATATGGGAGGTGGACGGCAAACTGAGAGAGCTTAAGTGTTGACAGGTTTGTGAGTGTAGTTGACATTTTCTGGTTGCCCACATCTTGAAAAGTTGGTTCTCCTTGAGGAGCCTGAAAAAGAAGCGTTAGTTCGCAAAAGCAGATTCCAAGGGACGTATGCTAGAGGCCTGTCACACATGGCCTTTATTACATGTTTGAGATTTAAGTTTATTAGCTTGAACTCATATCGTTGGCACCGGGTATGCATTGGTTTAGATGGGAGATTGGTATTTTCAGAGCAGACCTTTTCTAACCCCCCCCTTTTCGTGGGGAAGTTAGAACCAGAGTGGCACTGCTAGTCATCAAAGGGAAACACCTTACTGCTATCATAGCCTCGTCCGGTCAGCAGTACGACTTTGTCCTGGGAAACTCGTCATAGCGTAGCAACTTACGCTATAGTGGTAACTGCTTTTTGCTTTAAGTACTACCTGAAAGACCTTTCTGGTATGGTAGGACCTCGAGGAAACAAGCGTTGAGGCCAGTGTAGCTTATTGGGCCATGGTGATATACAAGCCCATCACCACGTCAAAGTAGCAGCTACTAGTCGGTTAGGTCGTATGTACTACGTAATATGCCGTGTTGAGTGGAGGTTGCAACATTACTTTGCTGCTCAGACATAGGTAGGTAAGATGGGTCTCAAACGTGTCAGTAACTGGTTGAAGTTAAACCTGTACAACAGTGCACGGATTCTGTTTACAACCTTCATGCAAATAAACAAAATGTAATGATAGTGGAGAATTCCAAGGGAAACTGCAAAAGATACTATGAGCTTAGAGTAAGTGAGGCAGAATGATCTGTCAACAGTATATCCGCACTACTAGCATCTACTTTATAATTTACATTACCTAAACATAAAATGCTAGCACCAAGCATTTCATTTACGGAATAATGACTATGTATTTATCTTTGTTTTAATATATGGCTGGACTAGATTTCCATCACGAGCTGAAAACGGCTTGTTTACTGGGCACACAAGATCTACTGTGTAGGATATCGACAGATAGTATTCAGTTCATCACCTGTGCGTAATTGAATTTGGGGTCTTTGGGGATTTAAAGATATTTTAAGTTGGTTTTCATCATGGACTGATATCAGTTGAAGTAACATTGGAAACCTGGGAGCACTGGACAGCCGTCTCGTCCTAGTATGGGACTCCTCAACAGTGCACACCCACGACCCCGCTAGGGATCGAACCCGCAACCTTCAGGTTCCGTGGTCAGCACGTTACCGTTGAGTCACTGAGTCGGAATCCAATGGTCCATATTTCCAACTTCTGCCAGTTCACGACATAGTGTGACCATCACCCAATGTCATCGTTGAGTATTGTCCTCATGACCACAAGGTATGCTCACTGGTCACAACTCATTGCAACTTAAAATATCTCTAAATCTCCACAAACCCGCAAAATCAAATGAACTAGTGTTCATTGGTGACTAGCTTCAAGAGGTGATTCCTGAGGTCCCAATGAGAAGTTGTGACCAGTGGGGCAAACCTTGTGGTCATGAGGACAAATACTCAACGATGACATTGGGTGATGGTCACACTATGTCGTGAACTGGCAGAAGTTGGAAATATGGACCATTGGATTCCGACTCAGTGACTCAACGGTAACGTGCTGACCACGGAACCTGAAGGTTGCGGGTTCGATCCCTAGCGGGGTCGTGAGTGTGCACTGTTGAGGAGTCCCATACTAGGACGAGACGGCTGTCCAGTGCTCCCAGGTTTCCAATGTTACTTCAACTGATATCAGTTTTATATTAAACTATTTATCCTTAACCTTGTGTAGAACTTCAAACTTAAACCATTAGCAGCCCTAAACTTAAGAGCAGCTGCAGCAGTTTCATAATGCTTGTTTACCTTTTTTATAGGTTGCAACAACTCAAATAACCAAACATAATAAGCCTAACCAGAAAGAACCAAGTGCATAGAGTGATGTAATTGGTCGAATTTCAACCAACCAAGACAAGAGATAGTTAAAAATTCTATATCGACATCGTATAATTGTATTATATGTTTTGTTTTACCCGGAGTTTCTTGATACGCATAAGTGGGGTTGATGTGTCAACTAAATAAAAGCAACAGACAATATTACGTACACATGACACATAAAGGAATGGTGTACAACAAAACAATGAATATAACTAACCTTGTGAACCTGAATAGGAAGGAACAATTAACACAGGAGCTGGTGCCCGTAAATCCCATAGACGTGCGGTAGCATCTGCACTGCCAGAAACAAACAATGAACCAGGACTCCATACAGATAGAGAATAAACTGCCGCTGTATGTCCAGACATTGAACGTACCACATAACCAGGTGGCGTTGACTTAGGTGCTGACGCATCAAATGTTTGAGCTCGATTACAATCAATAAGATAAATACGAGAATCACCTGCACCTGCACTTAGTAAATGATTACTTGATGCACTGGTATTGGTATCTGATGATGGATAACTTCCTAACTATAATTATTGTAAAGGAAAACGTAAGTCAGTAATCGAAAGGTGGGATACTGAATGCATAGTAAAAAGCAAGGTGTTTTTACGAGTTGAAGCCATTTTAATTTGACGTTATTAATTATTAATGACCGAGATCATTATCTTGTAGGACATAAAAGCATCTCGCACTCACTGATTTTGTTGTAATGAAAGAATACAACAAAGTATACCAGTGCTTATATATAAATGAAGCCTCATGACCTGTTATTCGCAAGTGATGGAATTACTGAATAAGTAAAATTTATGCAAGGTATAATCTTAAGGAAGATACGCATACGATAATATTATAAACAGATATCGCCTATAAATGGATTGTGTATTATATAATGCAAGTTACTGTCTACTTGACAATATTCAGAATAAACAATGTGAGAAAAACCTTCAGGTTACAGGAAAAAGTGGTATTATATATAAATTAATTAATAGTCCGCTTGGAACTAAAAACAGTGACACTAGTTTATCTCAAGTAACCAACTTATGTACATAATCCATTTCAACAGAAGACAATCACAGTTCGATTTATCTATCGACACAATGTACCTAACTGAAGTAATGGATTTGGGTCTGTTAGGAGGCATTAGCTCCTCCAATCACGTCCTGATGAAGAGTTCTGATATAGACAAGACAACGATAGAAAGGTTTCTGTCGGCTCCATACTGTCAACTAACATCAATCAAATTGCATCCGGATGGTAAGTCTCACAGCTTAATGACTTAGAAAACTTGGTCAGCATTTATGACTAGAAGGCATTTTGAGTAGTTTATTTTTGTCTTTTCTCCTGCCAACTCCCAGCTCCAAAACGTTGATGTGAAGTTCCGCTACTGAGAGTGATAAACAATTATATCTGGTCGTATTTGGTCTATACCTGTCTATTTTCATAACTTGAACAAAAAAGTAATAGATTTGCATACGAAAGAAAGTGATACGAATAAACTTACTAAAATGCGATATCTCGTACTGTACTATCATGATATCGAAGTTCTATAGCATTTCCGGCAGTGCTGGCGATTTCTGGATCACCACAAGCAGCATCCGGTAAACAGTACTTGGATCCATTTGAAGCAAGCGAACTGTAGTATCATTACTTCCCGTAGCAATAAGTCGACCATCTGGACTCCAAGCAACGCAATATATGCTACCTTTATGGTATTTTTGACGTCTCATTAAAATTACAGGAGAGGTAGCTACATGTTTGGCACTAAAAAAAGAATAGGTTTTAAAAAAATGAAAGTCAAGTACCTTGTTGAGAACACCATTTTTGCGGTATATTCTGATGAACAAAATGAGTAATATGGACGCGACGCGTCGACTTAAGCCCGAGACTTTCAGATGGTCTTGGTTCGAATTCTTCCTCCACATAGTCAGGCTTGGGTAACTAAATAGTACAGAGACCAACTGGTCCGAATCCTGCTACAGCCCCAGTTTTCATCCACCTTCAATCATCACCTAGCATGTAAATATGTAACTACACGCACAGTTGTCAAGGAAAAGTAAATAGCTTGATGGATTGTGAGTTGATAATAGATCGTTGACTGATACCAAAATAATAGATTTATAACCTAAAATGAACGGGGAACGACAATACACATTCATTTGTCGTTTTCCCTTCCCGGTATGCGGAAAAATGAACATCTGCTGTAATGTCATATTTCCTCTTTCGATTGTGTGTACAGTATTTTTAAGGTAGTAATCAGTGCATAATCTACTTAAGCTTGAATTGAAACTCTTCAAAGCACTACGTTTCTTTTCTCTGATACAGTGTATTAGTTCATCTGAATGAAAACAATTGACATATAAGGATGAACAACTGTATACTCTTTTGCAGTGTATAATGTCCATAACTATGCCCTGTCTACATTTCACATATACATTCAAAAGGCTTAGCTAGTTTATTTTGTTACATCCCACCGTGAATTTGATGCGATGATTTTTGACTTTTGGTAAAGAAATGTCAACGACGAAAAACTAAAGTCATTATACTTTATATATATATATATATATATATATATATATATATATATATATATATATATATATATATGACAGGTATAGCACGGTTATCTTAAGTGAACTTATTTCCAGTCTTTCCGGAGCTAACACATCTCTTACAGTGATATCACTTAAAAACACAACGATGTAATTTTGCAAGGTGAAATTAAGATTGAATCCAATTTCATACAGTTATTCGGGTGAAAAATGAATATATTTATTGAATCTTGCGAACGTTGTTCTTGGAACCTCCTGATTCACTCTGAGGGTTAATTAATAGGTAAACGCTCACGTTGTTGCGAGGCTAATGATAAGCTGATGAGATATAATTCATTACCAGGAGTTTGATAACTGTGGAGTTCAATGCAAATATAAGGATACTTTTTTGTATAAGATGTTCCATTCAGATTATGAGTTGAAGGAATTCATTCTGGATATTTGATTGCTCCGAAATGACCGCAAAATATTTTAACTCTTAGTTCGAATGTTTAACCTGAATTGTTTTTAAGCTGAAGTCTCGGTTTGCTAACGTGTCAATCTCCCATCTTATAGATTAATAACAGACGTAGCAGGGAAGAAACTAGAACAACGGCTTGCTTTATGTATTTTAGTGGTACCGTCACGGAGTTCGAACTCCGATGTTACCAAGAAAAATGAAGACTGAGCAAATTTCATATAATAATAAATTAATCAATTAATGATACTATGATAATAAAAAAACATGAATAGGTTGTGGACAGTTCATATCAAGAACTGGAGTCAGTTAGAGGACCAGTGAAAAACCAGAAGCACTGAATAGGTGACTCCTCTAAGTCTAAAATTCCTGAAAGCCCTTCATCTAAAATACGAAATCAAGCTCAGAACTGTTAGGTCTTGTTGCGAACACATTAGGATCGAGTCAGTGGGACTAAGATCCACCATTCCAAATCTTGCAACATTTCAATTTCCCATTCAGCGTAATTCTCCTTCGTTGCTATCGCTGAGTATCTTCAAACTGCAATGAAACAACGGTTTAGTCCTCCTCAATTGACGACAGCTTATAAAGAAAAATATCTTCAAATAAATACACTTTCCACACACCGCTCAAATAGGCAAATGTGAATAAGTTGAAGAGCAAATAGTATCATAGGTGATTTAAATTTAATCTACATTAAATAATTTTCATGCAGTAGCTGCCATTTTTCTAAAAGAATCCTCACAAACTCACCTTAAACGCTGAACGTTAGGATACTGGCATACACGTAAAATTTACTATTTGAACCGACAGCATAAAAACGTCCAGATGGATGAAATCCAACACAACGTATTGGTTGGCTATCTTCCAAAACTGTGACAGGTATGTAACGTGGGGTTTGAGCGCGAGTGGTCGTTGTAATAGAGTTCTCACCATTAAGTTTGTATGTCTGTTCCGCTTCACCATAACGAGAATCAGAATCCGGAACGGCAGCGACGACATTTTCCAATGCATTAGATTTTTTGATTGACGGTTTTTGTTCAGGACTCTTCTGAATACAGCTAGGGGCCTGCTACGAAAGAATAATAATTAAAAGGTTTGACGACACGAAAAAAGTGAGATAAGAAATGAAAACTAGGTGAAATACTCTACGTAAAACAATCAGACAATATAACAGACAAACAGGAATTGACTCATTTTATCACAAACAAGTCATTAGGACACACGAAAAAAGAAACCGAGCTAAAGGCAAACAGAATCCAAAGTATTCATAAGCAACATAGCAGAAACAGATTACAGATGCTGACCAACAAAACAACCGTTGAAAATGAATCATTAAAAACATGTAAAACACCAATGTTCTCCAGCTAAGAAGTTACTCAGAGAAGAACGGTATCGGCCTATCTAATACATTTAACAAACATCAAGAGACGAAGTCCAACTCTGTAAAATTACTGCTCATCTGACGTACTCAGTTTGTCAAAATCCAAACATACACCATAACAACGTAAGGCCCGTGAAATTAGATAATACTATACAATTCGTGAAAGAAGAGCAGCCTATAACATATAAATTACAATTTTCTTTTACAGTTTGACTGAAATAATTTTTATGGTTATCAAAGTTGTTTTTGTTCCGATCAGTTCTATAGATAAACAGTATCTGATACTAGATATCTTCGACGTCAGTCGACATACTGTCTTCGTTGATTGGTCACCGAAGAGTAATCAATTTCATGTTATTTAGTCGTAAGGGCTGACCAAATTCTGTCGACTGTTTTGCAGTGCAGTCACCAAGATAGGAGACTAAGTATCACGTTGCACTTTGACTAATGTTATTTGGTTAGGGGCGATCTATCGACATGAAGCTCTCGAAGATGGTTAACAAAATCCAGTGAAGAAGTAGGATTATACCATATATATGTCGAAGGCGAAGACAATGCAAAACAAAAGGATGTTTTCCTAAATTACCGAGAAAATCCACTGATATATTTCTACATTTGACAAATTAGATGTACAAGCTTGTCTTACGTTTGTCTTGTCAAGGTGACTGGAACAATGTCATTTTATCCAGATTTAGAAAAACATTGTTCGAAAAAAGAGACATTTTGTGAAGAATCGATTAATCTGGAGACAGATTTTATCACGAAATGAAGTGAAAGAATAGGCAGTAAAAAGCCGAAGCGCTGTACAGGTTTTGATATGACAGTGAGATGCTGATCGAGTCGAAGACTTGTGCAGTAACCTTCAGTCTTACTACTGTTGTTGCTCAATTTCCTGACAACAGAGGAAATGCAAAGATGAAATGTCTGTTGGAAGGGCGATTATGCACAGAGTATTACGATACTTTGTGTTTATGGATGGTCCGCAGTGTTCTAAGAGATCTAGATCTATTACTCCTGTCGGTTTATCCAATCAGGTATGCACACGTATAACTATGCGATTATCTGGAAATCTCTAACTGAATCTGGCTGTTTCTGACTCTCTATGGGGGATTCGGAGAAGGTTTATTCCACATCCTAGCAGTTTTGAAGCCGACCTGTGGACAGTGGACCTTCGGGTTTACATGCAGTAGGCTTTCATTTAATGTCACTGAGATTGGATTTTACAACTTCAGGAATGATGATATATGCATACCGATGAAAATGAATAATATTCTCGGGAATATAACCAAGTGACTGAAGCTGTAAATTCTCAGTCATTGAAGGCCAAAATACTTGGTTGAATGCAATATGTTGATCATGAGATTTGAAAGCAATGGGCCTTATCTCCAAAGGCTTCAAGTGAATGCCACGTCAAGGATTCTATATCGGTGAAAGTTGTGTTAAAAATTAGTCAATTATTTACAACAAACTACCTATTTTAATAATGAGACAATAGGTTTTAGTTTATTTTACAGTGTGAAACGATTTATTCACCTGCTTATAAATAACGGAGTGAACGAATTAAAAAGTAATGTGTATATTTTGAATGGGTAATTAACCCACATATTGGAACAATTATGATATTACAATGCATAGGAAACTTGAATCGCAGTGAAGTGTGAACTGTTTCACTGAAGCAAAGGATTTTCTTCAGTGGTCTATCGATTCAGAAAGTATCGTTATGAATACAAATAAATGAATAAAGATATACTAATTGTAGCAATTCCGTTACTTCACAGCAGTATCTAAACAGTCTACAAGCAATCAGCTCGACTGTTTACCTTTCTGTCGTATTTTCGTTTACACTGGTTTGCACAGTGGAATAGTGTCTCCTATGCTTCGAGATGTGGATATGGTAGAAGGTTAGATGACTCAATGATGTAGTTGAGTGCTGATCGGATTTTGTCAAGTTTAAAACGCAGAGACAGGCGAAAAACTCGAAGTCAAGATCCATTGTTTTTAAACGTTAAATAGCTAAAATTAACTGGCTGGAAATGCTTCAAGATCAGCAAAAAGTGCTTTCACGGCAATGCAGCAAAACATACTTTCTTCACTCATTTACACATCTATTTTTTCAACTAAATAAAAAGCTAATACGAGCAAAAATAGTCCAGCAGTGACTCCAGTACTTTTTGTTCGAAAACAAAGAAATAAACAATGAAAATTAGAGACAATATCCAAATTTCAAAAATTGCTGGAATTCATGGTAATGCTAGATTCTGAATGACTTATTCGTTTGACATTCGAACAGGTCAAATCTTTGACCACAACTCGCTTGGCCAACACAAAGAAGACAGCGTTGGACTGAAGACATTTTGATCAACCATTTGGTTATAGTTCATCCGTTTCGATCTTTGGCAGGGTCTGGGTGTGCACTGCTGGGGAATCCCGTGCTTGGATGAAACAGCTATTTAGTGTTCCAGTGGTTCTTCGACTGATATCAGTAGATGATGAGTAGCAATTTGAAGTCAGTAAATAAATCCCGTCAAACCTCCAAATAGAAGAAAAGGTATTTGAGATTAGCGTCGCTGAGAGCGCAAAACCAAGCGGTGCATGGGATGCATAAACAAGGAATAGAAAAGGGAAATACAGACTTTTACTAGGTAATTTTCACTAGTATAAGTAATAAGGGTTTATTCTTGAGGAACTAACATCCGCGAGAGAGACTAGATGATTTTTACATGAGAGTCTAACAGTCACTTCTCAGAACCTACTTAATTCACGTAATGAATTACAAGTATATGTAGGTGGTGGTTGACCATTTCAGTCAGTGGCCAAAAGAATAATCCCAAAAAGAGAAACTATGAACCAAAAAATTTCTACAACATAATCTGATAGTTGTTTCAGTGGTGTAATGTGATGCAGTAACTACCATTCTCAATGGTTACTAACTATTATAGGGTAATGTAGCGAACCAGAAGAATACATTCTAAAAATCGTTAATGAACAGAAAACGAAAAAGACTCACAGGTGGTGTAACAGGAAGAGATTGATCACCGGTGGTAGGCGCATAAGAAATTTCTCGATCCAGACGACGTTTTTGAAATTCATGAAGCAAATCACCAGCACGCGAACCAAGTTCATGGCCATCTTTATTTCAAAGATAATGATAATAGTAACATATCATAGTAACATATCACTGAACATAAAAGAAAGTAATCAAAAACTCCTTGTGTTTGCTTATTCAGAAATCAGATTGGTTTATATCGTACAGCATACATTCGAGGAACACAAAAAATGTACGATTGTCAAGACTATTCATACCCGTACTTCGTTTAATTAGCCTATTATTAAGAAAAGTACTAACTCCTCATCCCTGAATTCGACTAAATGCACACAAACCCCAATGATTAGTTGTGTAAGTGGTGACAATTTTCAGCGAACTCCATAGACACCGATCATAAGCTCATAGTTGCAAGCTACACACATGCCATGCGATTAAATTCTGTTGAAAGAAATAATAATAATACCAATCCAACTCAACCCGGAAAATATTTGTGTAGTAAGCGTTGAGCCAAGTTTGTGTGTGACGGCTAGTGATCTTACCCATTTCATCGAGTCAAAGTAGAAGGAGCAGGATTTGAACCTGAGATATACTGTTTGAAAGAAAGTGACAAACAGAACAGCCTACTTTTTCCCTGTTTATTAGAAATATCACACAGTAAATGCTACTGCTTCACTGTGTGATAATTCTAATAAACAGACTAAAGTGGAATTACAATCGACCACAGTGCCCAAGTTTTACTCTTATATTAGCCTATTTTGTATAATATCAAGGAACTACGAAAAGTTTAAGTCTGAAAGTTAGATTTGTGGTCCTGAAAACTTAAATTTTTCGCGCCAAAAAATATACAAGTAGCGATGCACATAACATATTATGTTTAAAATGGAAAGGATTCTTGTGCAGCCTTTGTTTTACAATAGGCAATTAGGTAGCGGGTGGGAACTATGGAAAAGGAGTGAATGATATCACGAAATGCAAATTTTTCAAATGCTTTATCGAATGTCAAGTGGCATCAAATCGCAGAATTTCAGGGGGAAAATGGACCAATTGTTAGCAAAAGATTACTGACAAAATAACTAAGAAGGAATAATACACAATTGCTTTTGAAGTTTAAAAGGATATGAATACAAAGAAAATAAAAATTATGATTAATAGACCGACTGGGTCAACAGTAAAAACACTGGGGTTATAGCTTCGTTCCATCGTTTTTAAAATATGCTTTTTTTAATCTAGAAACTTCAGTAAAATTTAGTGTATGGTTACTGAATTTGTTATCTTATCGAACTGGCTTATTTATCCCCTTACTCAACAAATCAACACCACATATTCGGTTTTTTGATGCTGTTAATACTAGTATTCATGCACTTACCCAGTGAGGTAATGCGTTTACATGACTTTGTAAATCTAAATTCAGTTGATGTAGGGAAAACCTAAAATTAGCGTCCTCAGATTTTCATTCACTGTATAAAACATTTAAAATCCAGTCACATCTCTCTTTAATTTGATTACTAGTTTCTGCTTATTCCGAGAGAAATAGAGATCAACGATAAGCAATGGGAGACCCTAAAAGCTAATATTGAAACAGCTTCTATGATAAAAACAACATAGGAATGGAAGAAGTAAGCCCAAATAATTCATAGTATTCACCACTATAGGTAGATCATACGCCAACTTTCCAAAGCCTTCCACACTACCATAGAAGTAGTTTTCAGTAAAACAAAAGCTTTTTAAGTAAGATTTATCATTCCCAATTCAATTTGAAGAAATTATCTCAATCTTGCATATCGCAAAAATCCAACCAGCTACCTTGGTGCGGACATTCGTTTCCCTAGGTACTAACATACCAAAAACTTCTGTAGGATAGCAGTTATCGCTATAGTGTAAACAGATATGCTACGACGCGGTCCGAGAGCAAAATCATATTGCTGGCTGGATGGAATGTAACAGCAATAAGGAGTTACCTGTGTCTGGTCAGCAGTTCACGTTGATCCTCCCTCCTTCATAGGAAGGGAGATAGAAAGGTTCAGCCCCAAAAGTATCACACTTTTCTTCCTTGTGGTCTTCCGGGATAGGATTTTCTTATCTGGTCATACCGCAATCAAGTCTAAATTAAGTACTCAAAAAGTTTTGAAAGACCAGACTCGAGATGTCTTATGGGTTTTGAGGTTATGCAACACCACAGCTACTTCACTGTCTCTTTCAAGTACCTTACAGAAACAGCTTTTACAGTGTCCACAGCCAGTACAAAAACCCAGTTAACCTTAACCAATCATCCTTAACTTTGTCTCCTCCGCAGCTTCCGTTTCCTACAGTCACTACAAAATCCCTTACAACTTTCTCACCTTCTCACCTTGGGACACCATTATCAACGATCCAGATCAGTAAAACACTTATCGGTTTACAAAAATCACGCTAACGTTTTCATATTGCAGCTTTCCGGTCCAAACCCTGTGCCAAATCAGACAGTAGGCATCACTTGCCAAGAGTCTGTAATCTCAAGTCACGGATGTGTACAATTTTTCTGAGACACGCATACAAGATCGAAGCGTGGTTACTCATGTGATCTCACCTGATCAGTGTGGGAAGTCTGCAAAATTCACTTTACCAATGTCCTAATACTCGATGGCTAATTTTCGTTGTTCCGCGATTCACAGAATGCGCACTTTCGACTGGATGCCAGTAGATAATGATTTTCGCACGGTTCGACCGGATGGATATGTCAGAACTAGAGCAGACCATGACAATAACGTAGGCTTATTGAAGAAAATAGCGAGAAGAAACGTGGTTAGTGATACCTCTATTGAAGAGGATGAGTTTCTCGTAAACCTCCTTAGGACAGGTAGTCAGAACGTTTCGAAGAAACACTAAACCGGTTTACAGTCAAGCTTCAGTTGCCTGCCATCTTTTTACCCTGAACGTGAAACGGACGTAGATGTTAGTCCACCGACCATGAGGTTTCAGATCTTTCAACAACGCTGCCTTCCTAATATGAGCCGTGTATCGTAGAACCACCATGTTAATAACCTAAAGGTTAGGTATACAGTCTCAGACAAAAGCAGCAGGTCAGTTGGTGAGGTTATGAACCTTCGTCTACTCAGATAGCTAGGATATATGATTCGCATGCATTGTCACCGTCTACCTCGTGGCGCAATATAATCTGAGCTTGGTGTAAAGGCTGAAGACAGTCGAACTTAAATGCGGTATAGTTTCTGCTTAACGGTGTTAGCTGTGTGAGGAGATAAAGACATCCCGGTTGGGGTTCAAGTTTCAAAAGATATCACCAGCTGAAGAATCTACGTGTTGCGGCTCAGACTTGGCGTCAGTGGTGCAGATACGTCTACTGGTTAGTTTTATCCCAATTTTAGTATCGAATTTCGTTTTATGAATTTCTAATACTCTTGATTACTTATTATTCCTATTTCTTCGTTTTTGTATCTTCTGCTTTGATGTGAGATTTGACTACCTGGACTAGTTGGTAATAACGCAAAGTCACGTGTTGATAGTAACTACGTTTTAAGAAGAGTTATAACTTACAGAGAGACCTATTTCGGAATATTAATGATGTTGATGATGTCTCTGTTGATGTTTATCGTTTATAAAAAGATCCGAATTTTATTTCGTTGTTTTACTTTTGAGTACGTCACTTACGTGAATGGAAGTTACTGATAACTACTGTAATTATAGATATTGGTAGCAAACTGATAGACTTTCACAAACAGCGTAGGTGTACTTTGAACAAGTGTGCACAATTACCAAATTATAATCACATAACTATCAGACTGACAATAAAAGAAATGTGGAATATAAATCAGAACATATGAATAAACAGACACAAAAGGAAAAAGACGACAGAGCCAGGGAAGAACAGGACATGTTCAATCTTGCATGTACAGAAGCACGTGTAGACATTGACACAAACACACACAGAGATCAATTTGTCCTGCATAAATATTAATAGTAAGTAATTAGAACTTGATATACAAAAGTGGTATAACCATCAGTTCATCGATCGAAGTATCAGTACACACATAAACACATGCTTGTATACCCTTACTTAATGCCATTTATACAAGAGGTTATATCGATGCTAAAATTAAAACTCAGTGTATATTGGAATATGATACGACTACCCACTTCATCCTTTGAAATGGATGTCAATTCAAAAGGACACTAACCAAGTGAGATAGTTGAGTCTTTGGAAATCTATCAAACGTATCCAGAAGCCAGTGCAATTGCTACACAGCATATGTAAGTTTAACGTGAAGCTCCAGTGACTGCACAAAAAGATTAATGGTGGATGTAAGTTGAAACAAATCGATAGCATAAATTGGTGGGACTACTGATTAACCCTATCGAGATGATCTCAAACTCAAAAGTGACTTCAGCAAAGCTGTATCCTGTATTCCTAATTTTTAGGTACAAATGCAACTGAGCAACAGATTTTGTTTCTTAGTTTTACATTTCATGAATACAAAAAACTACTGATCAGATGAAGGATGTTAAACAAGCATGTTAAAGCAGAATCTTGTACAGAATTGTAACAGTTCAAGTTACCATACTTTATAACAGTGCATAAAAAGGAATTAAAAAGAAAAAGAATGGTACTGAAGTGATTTAAAAGCAAAGATGAATAAACCAACGACAATAAAATTTTCAATATTTCGAAGAATGAATATATTTGCACTATCTAGACTGATTCACTTTGAGTCACCAAGTCTCTAACGTTTGACTTCCATTTCAGATAACCCAATGTGACAGACTAAACCCTATACACCTCATTTCGACAGCTAGAGACTTCATGTGGAAGTGTCACATCTTGGCTGAATCGCCTTCAGATTTCACTCAGCTTAACTCTGCTTCCGTTAACACGGCAAACTTATGTAGGTAGTTGGAATGTTTAGAATAAATACAAGCACCCTAATTCAGTAGAGTTGTACATAACCATCTGAGTTGTCTTCCAACCTGATGAGCAATGCCTAACCTCAAAATTGTTCATTATGTGGTTCCACCATACGCAAGCAGTGCTGCAGGGATATAAGACTGAAACACATGGTGTTAATCATATATGAAAGGACACCCAACAATGATAATCGAAAAGAGGATGAAATTATTGATGATACTTAACCCTCGGACGCCCAACTCGTCGTTTCCTCCCTGGGTTCCACTCGAGGGCTTGGCGTGTGATGTCCTCAACCGGTTTTCTTGGTGTATGTGCAGTCCAATCCATCTACACTTTCTTCTGCATATCTGTTGGGCGATGGCCTTTTGGTTGGTTCGTTCCCAGAGTTCCTTGTTGCTTATTCTTGTTATTCTGGCCATATGATCTTCAGCAACAAGCGTAGGCAGCTGTTGACGAATGTCTGTAGTTTGTTGGAAATGCTTTTCGTGACGCGCCATGTCTCTCAACCATCATATAGAAGCACCGACTTGACTGACTTAGTGTTGAAAATCCCGATCTTGTTCTTGATGCTGAGTGCAGTACAGCAGATCTCCATACTGATTTCAGGTTAATCAAGACCTGTCTTGCTGTCTTTCCGATCCCAGCTTTGACGTCCTCATCTGTGCCTGTGCCATCTGTAGTTGAAACAATGCAACCTACGTAGGCGGAAGAGACAATTTCCTTTAGATTTCTCCCGTCGATAGTGATTGCTACTTGTTGTTGTTGTTGTTATTGGTTGGGCATCTTCATCACCTCTCTCTTCTCTACGCTCACTTGAAGTCCCGTCTTCGCTGCACTGTCTCTGCCAACAACTTCTTGGTTTTCGCCTGTGGACATTCGAGTTTGTGCGACAAGACATTAGACATAAATCATCATCGGTGAAATCCAGATCTTCTTCTAGGGTCTTTTCACCGGTCAAATAGCGTAGGCTCCTCTTCTCTCTCCTCACAGTTTGTTGCATGATCCAGTCCAGTCCAGTCAACCACAATCAGGAAGATCATCGGTGACGGTAGGCGTCAACCTTGTCTTACTCCTGTCTTCACTTTAAAAGCATCACCGAGCTCTCCATTGTGAATCACTTGGCATGTAGCCTCGTCATATAACTGTTGAATGAGGTTCATAAAGGTTTTTGGCACCAAAACGGTAGTGTTGAAGCAGTTTCCAAACTACGCCTCGATCGACGCCGTCGGAGGCCATTTCAAAATCGATGAAGTTGAAGTAGAAAGTTGACTGCCATTCTATCCTCTGTTTTATGATGATGCGTAGCGTTGCGAGTTGATCCACACATGATTTGTTTCTCCTGAAGCTAGCCAGCCTAGTCCGGTAGTAATTTTGAATCCAGCGCATTGTTTCATCTCTCCAGGATGATATGGCTTGAAAGTTTGCTTGGGTGAGTGTGAACAGAAGCATGATTCCGCGCCAGTTCTTGCAAAGACTTAGGTTGCCCTTCTCCCACATGATAGACACCTTTCCTTCTCTCCAAACCTTCTGCGGTAGTGGAGTGGTGTGAGCATGTCCACTGTTGTCTCTCCGTCTGTTTTCAGTGCTTCTGGAGGGATTCCATCTGGTCCTGCTGCTTTCCCGCATTTCAGCAGCTTTATGGTGTTCAGGACTTCGGCTTTTGTCGGAGGGTTTGTGTAGGCTGGCAATTTTGTGGCTGGACTGCTTGCTGGTGGTATTTCTAGACGAGTTGCAGGTGGTGGTGGTGGTCGATTCAAAAGTCATTTGAAGTCGTCAGCCCGTCGATTCCTTTCTTTCTCCTCTTTGGTAAGTAGGTTTCCTTCGTTATCTTTCATTGGTTTCATCTGAGCTGATTTCGTCTCAGATAGTAACCTGGTTGTTTGATATAATGTTGTCAGGTCTCTGCTACCTTCAGCCTGTTCTGCTTCACTTGCAAGTGTGTCGTAGAAGTGTCTTTTGTCTCTGCGTTCACTCTTCTTCACTTCTTTGTTCAGTGTTTTATGGGTTGCGTTCAGTTCCTCTTATCGTTGTTCATAATTGCACTGGTTCAATGTATATATATCACACAGGCGCAACAGATGACATAATTTTGCAAAAGCCAATCAAGCCCCTTCTATACGTGTAGAGTTTTCGTCGGCCACTGACTCAAGAGGGCTGATCAGACTTCCCAGGTAAGTGAAGTGGTCAACGAAATCAACCACTTCACTCTTTATTGTTAGCTGACGAACGGCTGAAGACTAATTCTAGAGCAACGATTTCCATTTGCCCGACCTGAAATGCATTCTAAACATTCTCAGACTGCCACTGAAGATATCCACAAGACTCTGCAGTGTTTCAGTGTCTTCATCTAACACGAGTACGTCACCTGCGCATTTTAGATCTATCAAGGAGTCTGCCATGATTAGATTAATCCCTGTGAAGTCAGACGACGAGACGGAGACTTCTACGATCTCAGGTGCGGTCATGTGAACGTGCTAACGAGAACGAAATATCCGTCCAGTGCTCCCAGGTCTCCAATAGTTCTCCAAATGATGTCATTTCATGTTGACGCGAAAAAATCTGTCAAAATAAAATGTGAAGTGTTGTTGGGAGAAGTACAAGATCTCTGAGTGAAATAGGTGTCGACAGTATCATTGATACACTCCCGTAAAACCATACTTAACAGTATTGGTGTATAAAACCTCTATACTCAGATACAATGAATGATGTTAACATCTTGACGTAATGGAAATAAATCGGTATTTAAAACTGCGATTACGAGGATTCTAGATCGTAAAAAGTTGCATGAGAAAATGCCCTAAATACTTACCAGCCTCTGTATCAATGATAATTGAACTTTGCATTGACGCTACCACTTCTTTCGGTGACATACTTCCCGACATTGTTTTATTAGAAGATGCAGACTTGATGTTAGCACCATCATCGTTAGCAAATTGTTTTCGCAGGCGATCAGAGACATTTTTATCACCAGAATCAGATGGGGAGTGTGATGGCTCTTCTGAGATCGACTGCATTTGACCTGGTACACCACTAGAACGAGATAATAGCATTGAATTTCGTAAACTTGCACCTATATGATGTTGTTCTTGATCTAGCATTATTGATGAATTTATATCTGCAGAACTTGCTGACATCTGACCATGCAAAGAAAACAATCGATCCACGATGCTTGCATACTAGCAGCAGCAGCGGCTGATTCCACATTACCATTTGTAGTAGCTATAGTAGTCTTCTGGTCAGATAGATTATTACTTCTGTTATCCAGTGAACCTGTGGTAGCTGTCGCATCGCTTAACAAGCTGGGGTTAGTTTTTGGATTTAAAAAGTGTAAATTTGGATTTGGTGGGAGACGGAATCCCGATAAGGAATGTGTCATCAAACGAGGCTATAATTAAGGAGGAAGAAGAATATCAAATATGAAGTCAGACATCTGTTTATGTTACATCAGTCATCCCAATAATTATCAATGATATCCATTCAATAAAAAAAAACCTAAATAACCAATCCCATTTTGCTCGGAAATATGATTTTCTGTATATCCATTTACTACGTAAAGCTGCAGTTAATCACAGTTGAAACCTACTAAATCGACCTTAGAGTCAGGAATTTAACATACACAGCTCAAAAAAGCGGAGCTACCTGAAGAATTGACTATCAGCCACTACGTCGTAGCTTTTAATTAACTACGTCCACTTTGAAATAAGCAATCAGCTAAAACTGTAAGCCTTAAAATTATCGAGTTCAGTACCTATAGTAGCTCCATAAAAATGTTTAGAGAACTTTTAGTGCTGATAAATTACAATATTCGTTTTCCACACGCCCAATAGTGACACTGAGACTGAAAGATGAACTGCTTAGACTGGCCACTTCACGTGGTGTTTATTAGTTCGAATGCTCATGAGAAGCCAGTTACATCGGCCGCTGCTGTACGAATTTAATTTCCCGTGCTAGCGAACATCTTCCAGCGTGATTCAGTAAAGGTGTAGTAAAGAACATTACCAACTCCATATTAGTACACTTGGTTGAAACAAACCACAAAGTGGATATGAATGAGTCGCTTTCCATCAACTTGTCAAAATGTACGCCGCTCAGGATCCTTTAGACTGCAGAAGCAGTAACAATCAGGGTCAAACAACCTGAGTTGCTTGTTCAAAAAAGGTAAGTGTGGTCGATGCAAATACCGTAGTCCGATTAGATACGCACAAATTCCTTAGCGTCCTACCCCAGGAAATCTAATTTCATACTGCAGATAGACCTTCATTCCTATAGTCTGAAATAATTTTCACAGATTCTCTTAATCTATTTTGTCCCCCAATATGACCAAATTGCCATCAAGCTAGTATTCTTCAAATTATCCTTTTTACTTTATTTCATATAGCTCTCATAAACACCCTCATATAGCTTTATTAAAATATCATCTTATAGCATTACCTACGCAGTGTAACTGTTAAGATGATCACTTATTTTCAGTTGAATCCCAGTAGCAATTGATTCAATCATTAACGTTCACACAAGACGTCTCTGAATAGACTTCCTCAACTGTATAATGTTATTAACTAACTGAGAAGCAAAATCTGAATATTGTTGATGCATAACTGCCTAATATGAACATAACTGTAGGGCCCGAAGAAGTTATGGAAAAAATACTCTTTGTTCTCTCAAATGGCATCTGAAATGTAATGGAAATTTTTAATGATTTGGAAAATTTTCTCCTTGAATTTCTGAAAAGATTTTTACCAATTAATAAGGATAGCGACGAATGACTATCCGTTCTTAACAATGTAAAAGAAACTACACGCTAATTTACGACCTGTTATCTTCTTATAAGCCTATCAAGCTGTGGAGTGCCCAACTCACTAATTATTGATTTCAATGGCATTACGTTCCAAAAGATAGTGAATGTGATGCGTATTTGCATTTGAACTTACAAAATCCGACTTGGCACAGCAGCTGTATCTTAGCGAAAGTATGTTCGATGAGTCTGGCAGTAATATAGTTTGATCACAAATAAAATGATAGCATAAAATGTCGATACCTATTTGGCATTACACAAATTCAGGTGACAGCAAAAAAAATGAGTGAAATTTCACGGAATGTGAAAAATGAATAACAATTCTAAATAAACAGCAAGTTGAAAAGCTGGAAGGTTGACTGATGCTCCAGAGTATGGAGACTGTAAGCAAAACTGTACGACGGCAAAGATTAGTTAAACAGAATTTCAAATAAATAAATATGTTATGGAAAGCGGCGAGTGGTTGAAAACCATTCTCCAACCGATCAAAAGGATATTTCGCCAGCTCGACCACAGCGCTAGAGATTGTTCCTCTACTATTTTACAGGGGATGAGGTGATACAACTAGGTGAATTCATTTCAAGTGAATAAACTATTTTAACCTTACTTTCATGAAGAAACAAAAAGGAAATGCTGGTGAAACTTACACCACGCCGAGATAATTAGGTAAACCAGAACTACGAATCACTGGACGTAAACCTGCATTCATGCTATTATCGTGATTACCACTGACATCTCCATTAAGCTGATCATCTTGCGTAGAAGAGGTAGGATTCATGCGTAGAAGACCACTAGATAAACCTTCATATGCTGGAATAAGGCTTCGCATCAACTCACCACCAGGTCCTTGCAGATGACCTCTTTTCAGAGCGGCATTACGTATTGATAACACTGAACGTTGTATGCTAGATCCCATAACACCATTGGATACTGGTATATGTGTATAGGGAAATACAAGTGGTTTAACAGTAGGTTGAGTTAATATATGCTCTGGCCATAGGTTAGATTCTAGTGTGGGCCGGTTAATTGGTTGTACCTTCAGTCTAATTCATATGATTGAAATGGTTGACTAAAACTGACTGGTTTCAATGATTGAAGCCAAGAGTTCAGAGATAAATCAGGTGCGATAGGTTGACGGCAGCGACTCGTAGAATGAAGAGTTGTTCGCTGATTTAAATCACTGTTCACCGTTAACTGTGAATTAGTTTGACTATACAGACGTTCAGTTTCTTCTTCTTCATCCAAATCTCCTAGACAAGTGTATAACCAAAATAGTTGGAAGACTATTTAATTACATCAAAAACAATTAGTGCGTTACACTTCAGAATGATATGAGTATTTGGCAGTGAGTTGGAGAAAAACTGCAATTAACGGGTTTTACTCGCCACAGTGACTTAGAATCTAACGAGCATTTTGTTTGCCTGAGGAACAAAAATTACACGGAGATAATAGAATTAGGAGAATTAGGAGAATAATCTCTAGCTAACCATCAATAAATTTTTTGAATACGAAACTCATTTATCAAATACTTCGATACAAACAGTATAGTAAACTACTGATCCATGGACGCAATGCCTAATTATTTGATAACTTCAATGGAATGTTTATTAGGATTACAATATTCAATAACAGCAAGAAAAACAAGCTCTTAAAGAGACAGCACTCAGAAAAAATTCCTTGATTTCACAACTATTTGGGATAAAATACCGATCAGATGTGTGTAATGTCAATAACAAGAGGATAATACATCTGAACACTTTTTGTAATGATCAAACTAGGTATAAATTTGGCATGAAAGTATTTAACATGATTTCAGTGTCTAATACGTCACGCCCTATTCTACAGCATTAGTCCGCTGATAATAAAATAACAAAATATATGATCATACAACAGGCGAAAAGAACCTATTAAAGTAGGCTTGAAAATTCTTAAGATTTTAAAGCTCATTAAAATCATTCTCAATTATTTTTATGACGGCCGATTCAGAGGCTTATTCACGTTTGGCTTAAGCATTCACCGTATATCTTTTGATTATTTATATTAAAAAGGATATAAATTACCTATTCAAAATATACACATTACTTTTTAATTCGTTCACTCCGTTATTTATAAGCAGGTGAATAAATCGTTTCACACTGTAAAATAAACTAAAACCTATTGTCTCATTATTAAAATAGGTAGTTTGTTGTAAATAATTGACTAATTTTTAACACAACTTTCACCGATATAGAATCCTTGACGTGGCATTCACTTGAAGCCTTTGGAGATAAGGCCCATTGCTTTCAAATCTCATGATCAACATATTGCATTCAACCAAGTATTTTGGCCTTCAATGACTGAGAATTTACAGCTTCAGTCACTTGGTTATATTCCCGAGAATATTATTCATTTTCATCGGTATGCATATATCATCATTCCTGAAGTTGTAAAATCCAATCTCAGTGACATTAATGAAAGCCTACTGCATGTAAACCCGAAGGTCCACTGTCCACAGGTCGGCTTCAAACTGCTAGGATGTGGAATAAACCTTCTCCGAATTCCCCATAGAGAGTCAGAAACAGCCAGATTCAGTTAGAGATTTCCAGATAATCGCATAGTTATACGTGTGCATACCTGATTGGATAAACCGACAGGAGTAATAGATCTAGATCTCTTAGAACACTGCGGACCATCCATAACACAAAGTATCGTAATACTCTGTGCATAATCGCCCTTCCAACAGACATTTCATCTTTGCATTTCCTCTGTTGTCAGGAAATTGAGCAACAACAGTAGTAAGACTGAAGGTTACTGCATCATCATCATCATCATCATTATCAACATAGGACCAGGCATTACTGCGTAACGGTCCGAGTTGCCACACCTCATATCAGCACATCAAGTAAAAAGGTAGTGAGGTGAAGGATGAAGATAAGTGAATGCAGTCAAAAGAAATATAAAGTACGAGAAGAAAGGAAAGAGGAGTGACAAAATAGTGAGATTCGGTATAGCGTTGTTAAGATGAGGATAATGTGTGTATACATCTGCGCCACTGACTTCGGTTCTGAGCCATATCACCTAGGGTCTCCAACCACTGGTTCCTCTTGTCCCGTGGACCCCAACCACCTAGTCTGCATCGTCCTACATGGCTTAAACCAACAGTCAGAGACTTCATACATTGGTGCCATGTTTTAGTCTGGCCACCTCGGGCCTTTTTCCAGCCTGAACCCACCTCAGCCAACATTGTGTGACGAGGCAATCGGTGACTAGGCATACGTAGTACGTGTCCCAACCATCTCAGTCGATGAAGGTTCACAACCTCGTCGACTGACTTACCTCTTCTCCCTAAAACTCTACACCTAACTTCTGCATTACTCACATGGTGACACCACGGAATACGTCCTATACTACGAAGGCAACGGTGGTCAAATACCTGTAACCTTCTCATGTCTTCCACTTTCAATGGCCATGTTTCACAGCCATACAGTAGAACAGAGCGGACTGCTGTGCAGTACACGCGACCCTTAATAGACAAACGAATATCACGGCGGCGCCATAGGTGGCGCAAATTGGCAAAAGCCAATCGAGCCTTTTGTATCCGTGCAGAAATCTCATCGGCAACTAACCCACCGGGTTGATCCTACTTCCCAGGTAAGTGAAGTGGTCAACACACTCAACCACTTCACTCTCTATTGTTAACCGCGGTACCGCTGAAGACCAGTCCTGGAGCAAAAATTTGCATTTGGGTGGTGAAAATCGCATCCCAAACATTCTCAAATTCCCACTCAAAGTGTTCAGAAGACTCTGCATCTTGTCAGCGTCTTCACCTAACAGGACTATGTCATCTGCATATTCTAGATCTAAAGAAAATTCACCTGTGATCCGGTCAACGTCTTTGTAATTAGGTGACGAGAGGGAAACCTCCATAAGAATATCTATGATAAAATTAAATAAGAATGGGGATAGTGGGCATCCTTGACGGACACCACTTGATGAGTATAGCTCCCTGGACAACTCACCATAGGCTCTAACATGCCCACAAGTGTTCGAGTAGAGAGCTTTCAATAAGGTGATGTACTTACTAGGCACGCCTTTCAGTGACAGACACTGCCATAAGACTTCTCGATCAACGGAGTCAAATGCCGCCTTCAGGTCGAGAAATACAGCTATTGTCGGGCGTCTGTAAGCATGCCTATGTTCCAGGACCTGGCGCAGTGTGAATATTTGGTCGATACATCCACGGCCAGGTCTAAAGCCTGCCTGGTTTTCTCGGGCTTGCTGTTCCCGAGCTCCACTCAGGCGTCGGAGAATTATAGAACTTAGGATCTTAGACACTATGTTTGTCAGGCTGATTCCTCTGTGGTTATCACAAGAGGACTTCTCGCCTTTCTTGAAGACTGGGATGATCAGTGACTTAGACCAGTCGGAGGGGATCGTATTTGATTCCCATATACTGGCTAACACTTCCGTTAGCCTGACTAAGAGAACTCTACCACCATTCTTGTATACCTCAGCAGGTAGTCCGTCTGGTCCTGCTGCCCTTCCCCGTTTCAGGCTACCTACCGCTTTCTCAACTTCTTCTAGTGTTGGGGGACCTGTCTCTATGTCCCATTCAGGGTCCGACTGGATAGCGGGCAGCGCAATGGTGGCTGGAGGCCAGTTAAACTGTTCCTCAAAGTGTTCTGCCCATCGTCCCAGTCGCCTTCCCTGCGAGTGAATCGCCGATCCGTCCTTCTCCGCTATAACCTCACTAACTGTTGTTGACCATTTCCCCCCAGTCTCCTTAATAAGTCTAAATAACTGTCTACTGTTACCGATCGCCGCTGCCTTTTCCATCTCTTTAGCCTTTGCTGCCCACCACTGTTCACGATCGTTGCGCAGACTTTTCGTCAGTTTATTTTTAAGTTGCGCTCGCTCTTCATTGTACTCAGAGCCTGCAGGGATGCATTCACGTGCATCCATTAGTTTGGAAGAAGCTGCTGATATCCACTGGCTCTTTTTAGCCATTATCTTGGAGTCGGCTACAGTCTCCAGTGCTGCTTTTACAGTAGACTGAAGATGGCACCAAGCTTCTTCTGGATGAGTGACAGTCTTTTGTTCCGATAACTGCCTAGCCAACTTCTCACTGAACACGGCTTTGGTGTTTTCGTTGTCCAGCAGAACTCGTAGTGGTTTTGTTGCCAAATTTTTTCTACGTCCATTGAGACGCAGGCATATACGTGCTCGGACCAACGCATGATCGCTGTCCAAACACGTACTCCAGAAGGAGCGGCAGTCTTCCACCGATCCTCTCCAGCGATGACTAATAGCAATGTGGTCTATCTGTGTCCATCGCTGAGTCGAGCTCGGTGGACGCCAGGTCAGACAGTGCCTTTCTTTATGTCTGAAATTTGTGCTGGCTAAAAATAGGCGGTTATCTGAGCATAGTTGTAATAGGCGATCACCGTTATCTGTACGTTCAGCTGGGATTCCGAAAGTGCCACCTAAGTGCCTTTCTGCCTCACTCAGTCTACCCACCTGTGCGTTGAGGTCACCTGCAACAACCACTACGTCCGAACGTTTGGCTTTCGAGAGGAGGTTAGACAGTTTATGGTAGAACTCGTCCTTCACTTCATCCGAACTACAGTCAGTGGGTGCGTAAGCAGAGATTACAAAGAGACAACGGCGAGTCTCACTATTCCTTTTAGTTCTCACTGTGCCGTTCAGCCTCATAGCGCAGAGGCGACTATCAACTGGGATCCAGTCTAGTAGTGAGTTTTCTGCCCTGGTGCTTAATGCTATACCTACACCTGCAAGACCACGAGAGCTAGCTATCGAATCTCCAGAAACTCGAAGGGTGAATTTTGCAGATTCACCAGATTGGTCAGGAGAGGTCAGGTGAATAACCACACTTGGGTCCTGTATGCGTGTCTCACAAACACAGCACACATCCATGCCTCGAGTTGCTAGAGTCTTTGCCAACGAAGCCTGTTGGCCAATTTGACGGAGGGTGCGGACATTGAAGGCTCCAATATGTAATTTGGAGCGTGGTTTAAGGAGACCAGGGACGCTGTTCTGTGGACTCAGATCGTTGTCGAAGGCTGCAGAGGTAGGAGAAATTGAAGATGATGCAGCATCATTAATTAAGAGACGTGAAGGAAGATTAGAAGGTAATGATGGAGGAGGAGGATAGCAGTCAGAAGAAACTTGGGTGCTGACAGAGTTGTGAGGGCGGTTGACACTTCCCGGCTGCCCACACCGTGGAAGGCTATTTCTTCTTAAGGTACCTGAAAGAGATTTGTGTGACCGCAGAGCCCATCGGACATCTGCTTGAGGCCTGTCACACCCAGCCTTTTGAGTATGATTATTTTGAATTTTTGTATTTTTGGGGCCGGATGAGCGAAAGGAAACGACAAGTGAACCAACACCGCCGGCCCGGCAGACCGTGGGGCGTGGTGGAGTGTGTTATTTTTGGGGCCGACCTTTTCTAACCCCCCCTTCCACTGAGAAGGCAGCATCAGCTTGGCACTGCTGGTCATCCAAGGGAAACACCTTACTGCTGTCACACCCCATCCAGCTAGCAGCAGTACGACTTCGCCCTCAGACCCCCATCATAGTGTAGCAATTTACACTATACGGTAACTGCTTTTCGTCTAACCACTACCCAACAGACCTTTCTGGTATGGTAGGACCTCGAGGGAACAAGCGTTCCACCAGCATAGCTCGTTGGGTCATTGTGATATGCAAGCCCGACCACCACGTCAAGGTAGCAGCTATCGGTCGGTTACTGCACAAGTCTTCGACTCGATCAGCATCTCACTGTCATATCAAAACCTGTACAGCGCTTCGGCTTTTACTGCCTATTCTTTTCACTTCATTTCGTGATAAAATCTGTCTCCAGATTAATCGATTCTTCACAAAATGTCTCTTTTTTCGAACAATGTTTTTCTAAATCTGGATAAAATGACATTGTTCCAGTCACCTTGACAGACAAAACGTAAGACAAGCTTGTACATCTAATTTGTCAAATGTAGAAATATATCAGTGGATTTTCTCGGTAATTTAGGAAAACATCCTTTTGTTTTGCATTGTCTTCGCCTTCGACATATATATGGTATAATCCTACTTCTCACTGGATTTTGTTACCATCTTCGAGAGCTTCATGTCGATAGATCGCCCCTAACCAAATAACATTAGTCAAAGTGCAACGTGATACTTAGTCTCCTATCTTGGTGACTGCACTGCAAAACAGTCGACAGAATTTGGTCAGCCCTTACGACTAAATAACATGAAATTGATTACTCTTCGGTGACCAATCAACGAAGACAGTATGTCGACTGACGTCGAAGATATCTAGTATCAGATACTGTTTATCTATAGAACTGATCGGAACAAAAACAACTTTGATAACCATAAAAATTATTTCAGTCAAACTGTAAAAGAAACGTTCAATGTATCGACTGTCATTAACCAAGTACATAGAATATTCAAATTTCAAATAGGCAGAAGGTAGATTTTAATGTCAATCAATTGGCAAAGCATTGTTTTGAAGGAAGTTGATTTATCTGAACAAAAAATGAATGGATATTTTGAACGCATAGATATGGAAACGAAAAGAGATAGTCACGTAGCAACAGGAATAGGGAAGCCCCATAAATGAATTTGTGGCAAAGGAATTTTAATGATGAAAAACATTCATTTTACAGAGCAACCTCTTCACGGTAATTTGTTAAACTGCATTATGCCAAATGAGGCTCAGTTATAATCCAGATGGACATTATTTGACTATGCATAAATGTACATACAAAGATGAACCAGAGACTATCGGGATTTACACCTGGTGTTTTACCAACTGGTCTACGAAACCCAAAGCTGTGCGCCGGTCATGAGCTGTGACTCACTGGTTTAGGGAGATGACTTTTGAACAGTCAGTCACGGGTACGAGCCTTGCTTCACCTACCAAGGTTTGGGTAGTCAGGTGGTATCATTAGCCCTCACACTATAGGTGTGGCTCATTGCACGAATCTGGACAAGGTTTATGAGTGCAGGTCTACTCTATTTGTGCACAGAAAGATGAGCCAAATCTATATAATTTGACAGATCTTATTAAAAGACTGAGTGAAGATTTCCATGGGAAAAGATAGGCTAAGAAGTTAGTTAAGCAAATAAAAATTTTTCCCACTACATCTGTTAGGAACGTTTTAAGCTACATCAAATCATACCCAAAGTTTCCGAGTTACCTTGATATGACTATGTATAATAAATTGTCTCGAATGTTATGAAGTAATACTGCTTTACTGAGTGAAGTATTTGAAACTATCTACGAATGCCATAGTTTGATAGAATGAAAACTTTTGGAACGGTGTGATGACTGACAGTGACAGTTACTTATCACTTATTCACATGATGGCCCGACGATAACGTCAGCTATTTTAGTGAAATTAAGACCAAGTCAGCAGCTGAGTTTCATTACTCGGTCGGTAGGCCACCAGGTTGGTAATCTATATAAAGCTGTTTTGAGTCGACTACTTCACACTTACCTACTTCTGTCGATTAACGGTATAGTGCGACTTTCATACAATGTTATCAGACGGTCTCACTCCGGACTAAGGTGACCTCACATTAGAACATCGAGAAATCTTGCTCGCAGCAAGGACCTTGAGAAATGATCATGAGCAATAAATTCTGCTCAAAACGTTGTCTAGTAAATAATGCTATATCACTGTGTGGTATATCAAACAAACTAACCCTCGTTCGCTTTGCTATTAAAACATAACATCTACAAACAACTTAATAGTTCCAAATCCTCACTGACCTACTCACTGACAAATTCCTAACAGATAATGGAAGTGCATTGCATATAAACCACATACCTCCTAGAATTCCTGTTATCTGCATTTGAGCTTTACGTTCTGTCGCCATAAGAGCACAATAATCTACACAGGCTTCATACAGTAACCCTTTGACAAGTAACCGTAACAGTCGATCCCCACGAGCATTTTCTTCAATAGGCGTCTGACCAGTGGATGAATGTTTACTAAGTTGTATAAACGGTTGTAAAAGTGGATAGATCTAAACAAGAATTGCAAAAAAGTAGGAATAATCAAAGCGGATGATGACAGTGAACAAAACATATTCAACAAAAAATCAAACCAAATGATACATCAACATAACATTCATCTGGTTTATCTGAAGAAAATAAAATTAAAACTAATATTGTGAAGGAGCAACGCATAAGCTCGAAAGTGAATGAAATATTTTGCAATCAGTAGCAGTTATTACGTTCGTAATTTATTAAGGACTAAAAGCACAATAACTGAAAACCACAAAACCATGTTACTCACTATATATATATATATATATATTATATATATATATATATATATATATAATATATATATATATATATATATATATATATATAATATTCGGCTGAGAACTTCGTGCAATATTGGAATAAAAATTACAAATATGAGAATCAATTTAAATCATAGAAACTATAATTATCCTAGGAATCTAAAGATTCATAGTAAACCTTCAAATGAAAGCATGCATAACTTATTACAAAGCAAAGAGGAGCAAACTCAGGTTTCACTACATGAATTACAGATTTTTAATATAATACGAAAATAAGTCTATGGTTTGTAAATCACTTCTAATTTCATAACGATTTTCTATATTTGCTCTATAGTCAGTGCAATTGTATCTCTTAGGACATTTATAAAATCTTATAGTCAAGAAAGTATTTCTACTAGAAAATTTATTTTTACTCAGGATTATTTATAGTAGTACAGGTGAATTCAATTAGTATTATAATCTAAATTTCGAACTATTTTTACCAAATTTTATTTATTCATTCCACCTTTTTCGCACCCCCTAGTTGTTGATTTCAAAATCAAATTCACTCTCTAATCTATTGTTAAATGCGACAGCTTGGGACTGATGAACTTTCTTACGGGGTTTAAGTTGAACTGCCTGTCCGTTTTTATCTCTTCGAAGTATAGAGCTATGAGAGTTGTCAATTACGCAAAAATAAGAAGTATTACTGGGCTATCCAAATAGAAGAAAGTAGAACCATAAAAGCTTATTAGAACAAAATCTTAATAGGAAACTCCCGTAAATCTTTTCAGACTATTACTACCTGCTTTCACATCCATAGTGTCAGTGAGAACAAGTAGAACCTTACAAGGAATACCGATTTGGTTAAGTATTAAGTTTAGAGGACATAAGTTGAAATTATCCTTTTTTTTCTTTTGTATAGTTTAGAGAATCGAGTATTGCAATAAAACACTAGGCTCAACATCTGATCTTAAAGTAACCTTTCATGGGATTATTTACATTGATTAAATTATGTAAAGCTATCCAGTAAATTCGAAATACCACCGAAGGATATCCAGCATATAACTCTACTAAAGTGAATCAACTTTTCAAATACTATTTTTTCACCGCCAGGGCTGCAAAAATCAGTACGCACTCACCTGAACTTCCATTCCACAATACTAAGGGACTCTTACTTTACCGGTACTCGTCTCTATCTCCACATACATCGAACGAATGAAACGAAACGCATTCAGCCACCTTGTCCACATCCATGCAGTAGGCAATGAGCCACACCAGTTGTGTGAGGACATGATACTACCTGGTTGCTCAAGCCTAGGTAATTGGGGCGCGGCTCGGACTCGTGACCCAATGGTTGACAGTCATCTCCCTAAACTACTGAGGTACAGCTCCACCCAGGTACATCAGTCACATTCACACCCAACTAATCGAACTGCGTCCACGCACATTGTTCACAGCCCGATTAGTTGGATATGAATGGCTCATAATTTCAGAGTTAAGTGTTCAATCAATATCAACATTTCTCTTTTCAAGACTTTCAGAGTGAAACCTAAAAATACTCACCTTGAAGGCAACATCAATGACCATTTGAGCTAGTAAGTACATCCATTTCTTCTGAACGCATTCAACTCCAATATTTGAAGTGCTTGATATACTTCATGTTTACATTCTTTTCTACCATAACTTCTGGGATAAGCGACGAAGTTTCAGGAAAATTCAAGTATGTATGGTACTCTTAACTTTCTCCGTTTACACATAACCTACTTTCATACATTGTTAGACTACAACATGAAAGGGATAGTAATATGGGTTTTACAGTGAGTCAAACTGGTTTAAAACACTTTCACCAAAGAATTCCTTTACTCTTGGAAAGCCCTAATGCCAGTTATCATCCTAACTATATCTTAATATTCCTTGATATTTTTCCATTGTGTTTGAGCTTGTTTCGCCATCAAATGGTTGTCTTTCAGTTTGCCAATTTAAAATGCGCTTTAGCACACAGTTCTTTCTGTTAATCACAAAAGATAAAACACTGAATAATCTTTGATAGACAGTTTGTTCATCTAACAGATATAGAGAAATAATGCTTAGTCCCAACAATGATAAAACTTCCTCTTCTCTGCTTCAGTAACAGGGGAGACAGAACTGAAGTTTTGCAATAATTGGTTGTCTAGGTAGATAGATATACAACTTTGCAGTTCAAATGACGGGTGATGCAACAAGATGATTGATTTAGAAGTTGTTTAAAAAAATACCAGTTCTCGAAACGGTAAAATAAACTATTTACTTTATAATTTACTCATCATTATCACCATCTATCAATAAAGTTTATAAATAGATCATAACTGATTGACTCCATCAGTCTGATAGTGAGTTTTTCATGTACTCTATTTGCTTTACGAGTTTAAATATAACCAATATGACTAAGTTAAGTGATCTAAATAAGGGATAAGAAAAAATCCTGAGTGTAACATAAGGTAAAATAGATAACTGCACTTCGAAACAGACCAAAATGACTACAAAACGACTCTCTTTTATTAGCGTGCAGAATTGAAATAAGTACATTAATTATAAACCAACCTGATTAAAACAGTGCAAACGACCTAAACTTGGATTCCAATCATGATAATCCGGATGTTGGTCTAATCGTGTTAAAGTTAACAATAAGGCTAAATCACGGTACTCAGCTTGGGTTTCACATTCAGGTTCGAGTTGTTTCAGACATTCAATAACCTGAGAGATAAATATAAAAAGATGTATTGCACATGATAGATCAGCACACTGCTACTAATAGTGTATTTTATTCATATACAAGACATGAAATCATATGTACACATTTATTATACACTGTAAGTGAAACTGTCCAATCCAGCATATAATGACACGCAACATACTATACAGACAAAATCTTTTCTTCTTGCTATAGATAGCCAAAAAGACTGACCGGTTGATGTAGGGCCTTACAAATAAGCTGATCGGTTTACGTTGCTACACTTCACAGCAGCACGGGGTGTAAAACAATAAGATCGATTAAAGTGTAGCAGAGAACACGCAAAAAAATAGTAGAAAGATAATGTTCGAAATTTTAAATCATAATTCAGGTTCTATGATTATTGGACGCCTGAAAAGAGCTCAGGAATAGCGGACCTGTGAAACCTAGCCAGGTTTTGAACATGGTCGTGAGTGTATCGATCAGATATTCACTCTCCTCCAGGTTCTGGAGGACAGGAGCATTCACCCAATACTAGTGGTATTCCTTAACCTGAAGGTAGCATTCGGTTTTGTCGATCGAGAGGTTAACAGTGGGTATATTAATGAAAGTGGTGCCGAGTAAGGTGAATCAATCTGTTGAAGGTTTTGTACTCGAACACCTGTGGGTATGTTAGTACTTATGGTGAGTTATCATGTAAGTTGTTTATATCGAGTGGTGTCCGTCAAGGATGCCTACTCTCCATTCTTATTCAACTTTATCACAAACACACTTATGCAGATATTCATCTTGTCGTCCAACTTCACAGGGATCGTACTCGTCACAGGCGAATTCATGGTAGATCCACAGTACACAGATGACATAGTCGTGTTAGGTGAAGACGCTGAGATGCAAAGTTTGTGGACAACTTGAGTGGCAATTTGAGAATGTTTGGAATGCACTTCTCGCCAGTCAAATGGAAATTGTTGCTCCAGGATTGGTTTGTGTTGGAGTCTTGTTTGTCAACGGGGTGAGTTTGTTGAGCGCCGCAATTATAATATCCGAGTGTTTAAAGAAGGTCAGGTGCAATGTACTGCAGTTCACGTCGTTCTAGTATATGGCTATCAAACATGGTCACTGAAGTTAGAGCACGTGAGACAGCTTCAGGTGTTGTGTCTTGGTGTCATTACATCATTAACGAAGTTGATCGATACGTTTGCTAACCTTCCTCGACTCAGGTGACTAGGACGCATGTTACGCACACCTACTCATTTTCGATTGCTTTCTTGTTTATCTCTTGAGGTTTCATTTGAGTGCTTCCTTTGTTGGTGTCCTGATATAAGGTATGGAAAAGTGGACCATTACTCAGTAATGTCAGGTCACTGAACACTTGCCTCCATGAGGTCCTGGTATATCAGAAAGTTCTGTTGGATAGTGGTAAGACAAAATGCGGTTACTGCTGTAGTTTTATTTACTAAGGTATGGTGGGGATCCCGTGGCGAAATCGTACTGTTGGCTGGGCAGGTGTGTGACAGTGATGAGGTATTTTCCGCAAATAAACAGCAGTATGGAGGCGTAGGAGGAGGATAAAGTGGTCGGCCCTACATCAAAGAACCTCAAAAAGATGTCAACCGATTGCTTCGTCCATTTGGGATCGGAGTGGCACACAAACCAGCGAAATCACTAACGCACATGTTGTGTAAGCCAAATGATTCGTTGACAAAGAAAGACAGAACAAATATGAACTACAAAATCAAATGCAAAGGTTTTTCACAGCACTACGCTGGTCTGTGTAGCCACTACAGATCAAAGAATATATGAACACCAACAGTAAAGCAACATGATGCAGCCTCCTTGGTTTCAATATATGCAAGCAATTACAATCATACATTCGACTGGAAGAATGTAGAAATGCTCCACTTAACAGGTTAGAAAGCTGAGACAGAATTTCCAAAAGCATGACATTCCACTGGAAATCCAACCAACAAACACATGAATATAGACTCAATTCACAATCTGCTTAAGAAGCAAACAGCCAACCACCAACTATCCGTGAATTGCTCACACAAAGCAGTAACAAAGCACAGTGTGATAGTAACAAATAGCACAATTTCACTTAAACAAAGATCATCTACTAGAGTGATCGAATGATACATAAGGTCAAGTGCTGATAAAAATCTCTTCCCCCACTTACAGCAACCAACGCCAATCTAGACAACACCAATACATTCTTTACGAATTCAGTGTAGAGGATTCATCAAGGTGGCGATGAAGCGCCGGAGACAAAATATTGAACTTCACAGAACACCAAAACATCATCGTCCAGAGTTACAAATCTTTTCCATAATTTCAAAACTGCACATTTTATTCGCAAATTCTCGTTCTGCAGGATAATTTGGAGGCCGTTTTGTGTAGCTGTACTTTTGTTTAGCAACAATACAGCTTTCGGACCACAATTTTGCAACGCAAAATACATAATAATTGCAGTAAGCTAACAGTTAGAAATAACTAAGCATACAGACAAAGTAGTGTCTTCACGTAAAATAAAGAAGTGTTCGTTAACTACACCACAGCCAGAATGCAACGCTTTCATAAACTCCCTTCTGCTGTGTTCTAATTCAACATCACACCATCCATCAACATCCAGCAGCATCACTGAGTAACGGTCCGAGTTGCCACAGCTCATATCAGTACAACAAGTAAAAAGGCAGTGAAATGGAGGATGAGGAAAAGAAAATTCAGTCAAAAGAAATATAAAGTACTAAAAGAGAGAAAGGAAGAATGAGGAAATGGTGAGGTTCGGTATAGCGTTAAGATGGGGATAATGTGTATATACATCTGCGCCACTGACTTCGGTTCTGAGCCATATCACCTAGAGTCTCCAACCAATGGTTCCTCGTGTCTCGTGGACCCCAAACACCTAATCTGCATCGCCCCACATGGCTCAAACCAACAGTCAAAAACTTCATACATTGATGCCATATTTTAGGCTACCCGCCTCGAGCTTTTTCCAGCCTGAACCTATACTTCGGCCAACATTTTGTGACGAGGCAGTCGGCAGCTAGACATACGTAACACGTGTCCCAACCATTTCAGTCGATGAGGGTTCACAACCGTGTCAACTGATTTACCGCTTCTTCCCTAAACTCTACACCTGACTTCTGTGCTACTCACCTGGTGACACCACGGAATACGGCATATACTACGAAGGCAACGGTGGTCAAACGCCTGAAGCCTTCTCATGTCCTCCACCTTCAACGGTCATGTTTCACAGCCATACAGTAGAACAAAGCGGACTGCTGTGCAGTACACGCGAACCTTAACAGGCAAACGGATATCACGGAGGCCCCATAGGTGGTGTAAGTTGGCAAAAGCCAGCCAAGCCTTTTGTATTCGTGCAGAGATTTCGTCGGCCACTGACCCACCAGGGTAGGCCTGATCCAACTTCCCAGGTAAGTGAAGTGGTCGACACACTCAACCACTACACTATCTATGTTTAGCCGTGGCACCGTTGAAGACTAATCCTGGAGCAACAACTTGCATTTGGGTGGTGTAAAACTCATCCCAACCATTCTCAAATTGCCACTCAGTGTTCAGAAGACTCTGCATTTTGTCAGCGTCTTCACCCAACAAGACTATGTCATATGCGTATTCTAGGTCTAATGAAAATTCTCCCGCGATTAGGTCAACTTCTGTGTAGTCAGGTGACGAGGGGGAGACATCTATAAGAATATCTATGATAAAATTGGATAAGAATGGAGACGGTGGGTAGCCTTGACGGACACCACTCGACGAGAACAGCTCCCCGGATATCTCACCATAGACTCTCACACCCCCACAAGTGTTCGAGTAGAGAGCCTTTAATAAGGTGGTGTATTTACTCGGCACACCTTTCAGTGAGAGACATTGTCATAAGACTTCTCGATCGACGGAGTCGAGTGCCGCCGCCTTCAGGTCGAGAAATACAGCTATTGTCGGGCGTCGGTAAGCGTGCCTGTGTTCTAGAACCTGGCGCAGTGTGAATATTTGGTCGATACACCGCAATCGGGTCTAAAGCCGGCCTTGTTTTCTCGGGCTTGCTGTTCCCAAACTCCATTCAGACGTCGAAGCATTATGGAACCTAGAATTCTAGACACTATGTTCGTCAGACTGATTCCTCTGTGGTTATCACAAAATGACTTCTTGCCTTTCTTGAAGACTGGAATAATCGATGATTTAGACCAATCAGAGAGGACCGTATTTGATTCCTATATACTGGTTAACACTTCTGTTAACCTGACTAAGAGCACCTGGAGGAAAGGTCGAACTACCATCCTGATTCAAAACTCATCGCCTGATTTTAATTCCATGTTTTTTTTTCTTCTGATTTACGCCTGAAGGGAAGTTAATAAAATCTAAAATCTTTACGTTTGTATATCCTCATTTGCAACAAGTTTTGTCATCCTTCAAAATAAGTTCAAACCAACTGAAAGTTTAGGAATAAGCGCTGAGGCGAACCAAAATATTCATTTGAATATTTTGTTTGACGGTAAACTTGGGTTCTCGTTATATTTCTTTCAAATGAAGAGTCAAAAATGGTAGTTCACCACTTTCCATTTTAATATTCACATCCAAATTAATTAGATATGAAACAACCTCAGGGAGAGGGAGACCGAAATCAACGTCTTATTCAGGTTTGGGATGAATACTGAGCAACTGAATTGTTACTGTAGACCAGTTGAACAGCGCTTCAAAGTGTTCCGCCCAACACTCGAGTCAACTGCCTTGATCATGAACATATGCTTTTCGGCGATGCTCTCACTAACCATCATCTTTCTTATGACAGGTCCCTTGGTAATCGTGAGTAGTTGCTGCCTCTTACCTAAGGGTTAGTCCTCTATAGCTCATTCACTTTCGCCAACGACCACTGCTTGTAGTTATTGCGTAGACTTGTAGTCAATTTATGTTTACTCTGCTTTCACTCCACATTATCAGAGCCAGCTGTGATGAGTCTCCTCGAATGAGTCAGTTAGGATATTACGGAAATCTACTAGGTTTCACTAACGTTTGGACGTAGGCTACTGACTGCCTCTATCGATGTTCTTACAAGAGACTAAAGGTTAGGTCAGTCTTCCTCATGAAGATAATTGCTGCCATGTTCAGACAGATGCTTAGTTATCTCCTCATCAAATACATAATCGTTGTCAAATCCTAGTTGATCACACTGGGGTTTAACTGCTGTATGTTTCCTGCTGCGAGTAAAGCGCAAACACATGCATGCCTGTAATAACGTGTGATCGTAGCGTAAGTAAGTTCTTCAAAAAGAGAGACAATCCCTTAAAGACCCCCTTCAATGATGTCTTACCGCAATTCAATGTGTGGCCACAGTTGGTAGAAACCAAGTTCAGATCAGAACGAGGCGGTGACAGTTTTCGGTTCGTTAGCATAACATATGGTAAATATCTCCAGAATGTACATAGACAGCTATTAACTGATATTCAGTCGATAATTGTACTTTCTGATTTATAACTTGTGGACTAGTAGAGAAGGTTGGAACATTAATTGAATGGTAAAATACACTTTTAAGCCAACAAATAGCTCCAATATTTTTTTCCATAGGGCTTTAATGTTGTCAGCAAGAAGCATAACACTCGGTATACCTTGCTAGAAATTCAGTAGGGCCTCATATGATGGTTTTGTTCAATACCTGAATCTTTTTCTACCCCATAAATAGGTCTATTATACTTCTAATGCAATCCGGAAATCATTATTCTCGACCCGACAACTTTTACTAGTATTTTTAATATCCATCTTCTTCGTGACCCTGTGAAACAGTTTTATAAGTCGTTTTTTATTTAGCTAAACAACAATACAAAAGGTGACGAACAAGATCAAAAATAAACGTTATTTAGTTTTGCGGCATGAAAATAATTTCTGAGTTACCTTTCAATTCTCCTCTACCCCCATCAACTAGAAAATATTGTGAGCTTCAATGCAGACTTCACGTGATGAAATGGTAAAATAAGTTTACTTCCTTAATGTAAGTGTAAAACTTGGGTACTGTGGCAAAAGGTAATTCCATAGTAGATTTGTTCATTTGATATAACAAACACAGATACAGTGTTATTTACTTGATAACATCCAGAGCAAAATTTGTTGCTCATAATCATGTCAAAGTAAACATACACAGCTCTCGAAATTTGATTTCGATAGTCCTATTACTTCCTATTCTTTGTTTTTAGTGGTATAGTATTTTCCATACATCCGGTATAGGTATTTAGCCATTTCTATGACATGTGTTGGCTGCTGATTCAATGAACAGAGATTCTGTAATTAATCTCACTCTGTATCTAACTAAATATTTAACTGCAGTCGTTTTATTCCACCCTATTGCATGGTTGTGTGTTAATGCATGCATTGCAATAGCTGAGTGTCTTTCTTGATTACTGTTCCTATTAGGGTCTACCATTCTGAATTTGGCCAAATTCTAGTGCTGGGATAATCTAACTGACACTGATC